GCTCTGGCCCGGCGCCCGCAGGATGGCGGGCGCTTCCCCACGCGTGCACTACCTGTCGGACTTCTGCTGCCCGCTCGGAGGCCGGGCGGGGGGGAAACCGCATGTGCTGCGTCACGAGACGGAGGTCTTTCTGTCCACGGGGCGCGAGTTCGTCTATGTGTACGACCAGGAGGGCGGGATGCTGACGGTGAGCGGTGGGCGGGAGGGCAGGCGGGCGGGCGGCGCCCTTCCGAGGTGAGCCGGGGCCGCGCGTGCCCTCGCCTGACCTCGCTCTCCCGGCGCCCAGGCGGTGTACCAGTTTCCCGACCAAGTGTGGCACCTGCAGCTCCTGGCCACCCGCAGGGCGCTCTACGTCCTGTGCGCCCGGACTGGCATCTACTGTCTGTCGCTGGACTCGCAGAGCAGGTGAGGGGGCGTGGCCCGCACAGCTCCGGCCGGTCCCACGTCGGGTGGACCGGCACTCGGAGCCTCTGCGGGTGTGACCCTAGAGTGCCAGCCTCCGAGAAGTTCTTAGCTGTTGAGACTCAGGTAGTGCCGCCCGCAGCCAGGAACGCAACCGCTCTTGCCCTCGGGTGTCTGGGAAGACCTCAAAGCGGGTCTCAGAAAGAGGTGTCTCCTGTTGGTGGTGACAGCAAAGGCTGGTTAGCCATTGGCTTGTGCTGGGAAAACTCAAATACACAGCCCAGGTGCAACACTGGGATCACTCCCAGTGACGAGCGTTGTCTGTGGAGCCATGTGGTGCGTGTGACCTGCCGAATGGCCTGTGGGTGGATGCCTGTGATGTCTTCTGCCTAGCCTGCTCAGAGAAGGTCAGGTTATTGTTAAACATGACATGAGGCTCCCGCACCCAGTACTGACCGCTGTTGTGTTGTCCCTGAAGGTCTGTGACCCAGGCCTGTGAGGACAAAGAGGACGAGGCTCGCCCTTTCCCCGTGATCCATGTGGACCCGGACGCCTGTGTCCTCCCCGACCCCGCACTCTGTGCCTTCAATGTGCTGGATGATATGCTGGTCACCCTGGTCCAGGGCCCCACCCAGTGGAAGATGCAGCTGTTCGAGCGTCCCTGCCCAGGGGAGGAGCCTCGGCCTGGAGGCCAGCTGGGTGAGGTGGAGTTGTCCACCTGCACCCCTCCAGGTGTGGTGCCCGAGAAGCCTGCAGCCCCCAGCTTCCTGCCAGTGCTGTGCTGCGTGTTCCCACCAGGCTCCAGGGCGCCTCATGGTCACCCCGAGGGCTGTGGCTGCTTCATGCTAGAGGAGGCTCTCTTTGGTCTACTCTTCGGAGCTGACGCCACCCTCTTGCAGTCCCCTGTGATCCTCTGCGGTCTCCCTGATGGCCAGCTTTGCTGTGTGGTCCTGAAGGCCTTGGTTACTTGTGAGTTAGCCCCCGGTGACCCGAAGGTCCTGGTCAAGATCCTCCATCACCTGGAGGAGCCTGTGGTCTTCATCGGGGCTTTAAGGGCAGAACCGCGTGCTGAGGAAGAGGCGAGAGAGCTGCTGTCCGATGAGAACGTGCATTCTGACTGCCTGGTAGCCCTTGGCCACCAAGGCCGGACACTGGCTATCAAGGCCAGCTGGAGCGAGTTAGGGAATCTGGTGCCAGAACTTCGTGAGTACGACCTCCCAGGGCCCGTGCTCTGTGCCGCCTGTGGCAGGGATGGCCGCATGTACCACAGCACCCCCTCAAACCTCTGTGTGGTCGACGTGGCTCGGAGAGACGCTCCTTGGAACCTCGAGAAGCCAGACGAGGCCACAGGAGGTCTGCCCTCCATGCTGTGCCCGGCCAGCTTGAACATCTGCGGTGTCGTCACCCTCTGTGTGTCTACAAGGGCTTCTACAGGTACGAGGTGCCGTTAGATGTCACCCAGCCCTGGGACAGTCTCCCTGAGCTGTCCTTGCTCCTTGCTTTGTTCCTCGGTGAGACTTTTTCTAAGGCGGCAGATACAGGCCTGTATCACCAGGCCTGTCATAGACTAGTGGCTAGCTTCCTCCTGTCTCGGGGTCGAGGTACCTCTGCATGCGTGTCCTGCCTGGGACCGGGCAGCGTGCTGCTCTCGCTGAGTGTGCTCTGGCCACTCAGTCGAGTGCCACTCACAACATGTGGCTTGTGGGGTTGGTGTCAGAGCATCCCCCACAGCAGGCCTCAAATCAGGTCAGGCCAAGCCTCCCTGCATCCTCTGAGAGCTGGATGAGCCGCTTTCTCTGCTGGATGACCTGTTTATGAACCATTCAGAGGGTGTCTCGGAGTTCTCTAAGAAAGCTTTAGCTGGGTTTGCCTGACTCTGGGGTGAGAGGAAGGCACTCCCCACCCCCCAGCGCTTTCCCGTTAAGATCACCTGCTAGTATGTTAAATCTGCCGAAAATGCTTTACAGGAGGAAAATGCTTGGACGAGCCAAACCGCCACAGGGTCGGGGCAGGGGTGGGTATGGCTGTAGACCAGGGCACCTGGGCACTGACTTTCAGCTTCTAAACTGCCCACTCAGGGTTCAGGGTAAGAGCTGTGTTGGGAGTAGGGAAGCAAGCAGACCTTTGGCAGGGGCAGCCTCTATCCCCTCAGTGCCAAGAAGAAGGCAGGAGGCCGTGGCGGAGAAGCCAGGCTTCCTGAGATGTACCCAGAGAGGATGAGGTGAGCGTAGCTCGGCCTCCAGGGTACTTCTCTCTGAAAAGCCCAGCGGCCTTGCTCTATGTGGCCTGGTGCAGGCTGAGACACTTTTGAATGGTTAGATGCCTTGCAGTGTCCTTTGGCCCATTTTGTCCTGCCTGAGCGGGACCATGGCATCACATCTGGGCTGACATTGCCTCATGTAAGCAATTCAAAACGTGTATAGAGACCAGTGGTCACCTTCTCTGTCCAGCCCCTTGGTGTTGGCTTCCCCAGTCTCCCCCTGAGAACCTCATTTCTGGCCCTTTGCCAACCCCTTTCCTGGAGTCCAAAGCACACCCTGCTGAGCACGTGGCAGCTGCCCCAGACCTGCTGACTGGCCCTCATGTGTCCATCAGGTGGCACCGAGCTCCTGGCCCTGTCTTCTAAAGGGCGCCTGGTCTCCTGCATCCTGGACTTGAACTCTGAGGTGCCTGTGCCTGCCAAAATGGCTGTAGCAAATGCAGGCCAGAAAATTAAGGAGCTGCTCTTGGACATCGGTGATGTCTCTGAGAGGTGAGCTGTGGGCTCTGGCTCAAGCCGAGCCTGTGTCTTGTCCTTGGGAAGCAGCATCCTGGGTGACGCTGACCCAGGCTTGGCCGTCTGTGGGCCTTGCGGCCTTGTGACTTGTTGAGGATGTTCCCGTAGGCCTACCACCTGTCTGTCATACTGTCATTGTGGAATGTTGCAAAGGGAAAAGGGAGCCATTTGGGTGCACACAGGGTGCTTTGTAGGGCTAACTCATCTCTAATAGGCATAGGCTGGTTCAGTATCTCCATCCTGTCTTGCGTCCTATAGCCAAGCCTACAGATCAGGTCACAGGGAAAGACCTGCTCCTTGGACCTAGGAGCTGCTCCCATGCTCCGAGCTTTACCCAGATGCGGCTCCCTCTGCTGTGGTCTCAGTCTCCTGGGTGTCGTGTCTGTGCCTTGCAGAGTGTCCTTCCTGAAGAAAGCTGTTGACCAGCGCAACAAGGCCATAACAAGTCTCAATGAGGCCATGAATGTGAGCTGTGCCCTGCTGTCCAGCCAGGAGGGCGCCCGGCCCATCTCGTGCACCATCACCACCTCCTGGAGCTGCCTGGAGCTGCGAGACATGCTGATGGCCACCTGCACACTGGAGAACAATAGCAGCTTCAGCCTGGACCAGGGCTGGACCTTGTGTATCCAGGTGCTTACTAGTTCTTCTGCCTTAGACCTGGATGGGGCAGGCTCGGCTTTCACCTACACCATTCCAGTGGACAGACTGGGCCCAGGCAGTCGGCGGGAAGTGACTCTGCCCCTGGGTCCTAGCGAGAGTGGCGTGCTCGACCTGCCAGTGACCATGTCCTGCTGGCTCTACTACAGCCTCAGGGAGGTGGTGGGTGGGGCCCTGGCCCCCTCTGACCCTCTAGAGGCCCCCTATCTGGAGAAGCTCCCTCTCAACCTTCCTAAGCAAGAAGGTGTCTGCCTGCCCCTGTGCAAGCGCACGGTGGACATGCTACAGTGTCTGCGCTTCCCCGGCGTGGCCTCACAACCCGCGCAGGCGCCCTGCATGCCTGGCTCTGCCTGTGAGCCCGTGGAAACCTTCCTGAAGGCCTGCCAAGCCCCCGGCAGTGAGCCAACTGGCGCTGCCTCCCTACGGGCCAAGTACTTGCCTCCGTCTACAGCGTCCATCAGGGTGTCCGCAGTGCTCCTCAGAACCGCCCTGGAGGACGGTCACTCAGGTTGGTGGCACTACCGGCTGGCTTCACTTTGGCCTCAGGGCCCTGCAGCCTGTGGAAACAGGATGTTCCTCTCTCCCTGCGGCTCCTATGAGTTCTGCTGCATCCTGATTGTTGTAGGAGTCTTGTATCAGGTCCTATGTGTTTTTTAAAACCTGTGAGGAGGTACAACCTAAGCAGTGGCAGATGCCACCAAAGAACAGCTTGGTGAGTTCTCACACGTCGAGCACCAAAAGCTGGTCTGTCGAGATCTGTTATAACACTTGGCCTGGCTTTTGCTCCCACAGTGTGCTGAACTATTTGTATTGTTTGGTGCTGGGTCTGTGGCAGAAGTGTCCTGGTTGCTGGTGCCTCTGTGCTGCCACTGATGGATGTCGGATTGTGTGTCTGGCTTCACTCTGTCCTGGGGAGAGCTGAAGCCGTCTTGTACAGCATTTCTGTCTGTGCACCAGGGTACAGTTAGAACTGTAGCCTGTGCTGTGTAGGACCTCCCTGAGTGGGCTTCTAAGTCTGGATCCCTGATTTCCTGATGACCCCCTATGTCTCCCTGTCTCTCGGGTAACTGGCTTAGCTCCCTGCTTGTGGTAGGACTGTGGGCACTTGGGACACTTAGGTGGATTGGAAAGGCGACGTTTGAGGGAAGCCATACGGGTGCCATTTTACACTCCAGCGGGCGCCTTTCTCTTCCAGGCTTCCACCTGTGCAGCGCCACGCTGCAGTGGCTCCTTGCTGAGAACGCTGCTGCGGCTGTCGTGAGGGCCCAGACCCTGTCCTCCATCCAGGGCGTAGCCCCAGATGGTACTGATGTCAACCTCATTGTCCGTGAGGCAAGCAGGGGTCACTTCCGTGTTCTTGGGATGGGCCTTGGGGCCCTCAATCTTCGGTGGGTCCCTGGGCCATCGCTCATGGAGAATTACTCTAATCCGCCTCTCAGTCTTGTCTGCCCCACCAAGACTGGGTCCCTGAGAAGACCAGCCCTGTCTAATCCCTCACGGGCCCCGTTAGGGTCACAGTGGGCAATGAATACGGTATTGTTGGTTGACCATCCCAAGTCAGTAGCAGCTCACCTGCCAGACCACCAGAGGGTGACGGGCCCCTTTGAGGACCTTCAAGTGAGACAGCCCGTCCCCTCAGGCCTTTCCTTCTCTTTTTGGGGTCCTCCTAGCAGTCAGGATCCCCTGCAGTAGAGACTCTTGGAGAGTAAGCCGTGTCTGCCAAGAGCCGTGGGCCCTGCTCCCAGAACTCAGGGTATGTTAGTTATCAGACCGTGTCCTCCAGGCTCCTTACCTCACTGGCCAAGGCTAAGAATGGGCAGTGGTCCTGGCCAATGGACAGGGTCCGTGCTTACAGCCACATGGGGAACCATTGATGGCCAAGACCTTTCTGTAGCCCCCAGGCTCTGATCTTACGGCACTGTGTAAAGAGCAGGCTAGGGCTACCCAGCCTCAGCCTGTGGAGTCAGCACCATCAGGACCCCCTGGAGGGTGCTGAGAGACAGGCACTTTGGCCCTCACTTCATTCCTGGCATAGAGCCAAGCTTAGCTTAGGTCTGGGTACAGCTCGGAATGAGGTGGTTCCTACAGGACTGGATTCTGAGTTGTGCTGATATGGCTGCCCCTTATAAATAGGCTTTTTACTCTGGGTCTCCAGCCTTCCCACCTTTAAAATGCAAAGTGCAGCCCAGGTCTCGCTGCAGCCGCTCAGGGCCTCATGTGTTGCAGGTCGCTGTGACTGATTTGAGCCCCGCAGGGCCCATCCAGGCCGTAGAGATCCAAGTGGAGAGCTCCTCCCTGGCCAACATGTGCAGGGCGCACCACGCCATCATCAGACGCATGCAGGTACCGCAGCTAGCGGGGATGACGGCTACTGCAGCCAGCAGGGTGAGGGGCTGGGGAGCAGGCTCTGCAGGCGGGAGGCAGCCATCTGGGTTTTGTCTGTGGACCCATACGGCTGCCAGCAACATGGTGCCTTGCCACCTCTGCGCAAAAAAGACACTGCCTCCAGGGGTGGCGTCAGCCTGCGTCCCCTGAAAGTTCAGAAATGGCTGAGTCTGTGTCTGATCAGTCTGTCATGTCTGGGCTAAGCCCCACCTGTGGATCCTAGGCCAATAGGCTGTGAGTAGCTGGAACTGCCCAGCGAGGTCCTAGGTGCAGAAAGAACCGCTTGAGCATGGAGTCTCCCTTGGTGCCCATCCACATGGCTCTGTCCAGAGCACCCATCCCCCACCTGAGGCTGGTGTGGCCCAGGCTCAAGGCAAGGTCCGCAGGGGCCTCTGGCAGTTCTGCAGTTAGTTCTCAGCGGTAGCCTCCTTCAACCTCACCCTGGAACCCGTCCCTGTGTGCCCTGGCATTGCTTCCCGAGCCAACAGGTGTTCTGTGAACAGGGGGCCAGGTGCCGGTGCTGGCTGCTCTCAGAGCTAAAAGGTCAGCCCTAGCACGTGACCCCAGTGATCGGTCGCCTCTTCCTGAGCCAGGTGTAACAGTAACCGGATGTAGCAAGGTTGGGGCTTCGTGTTCAGGCCCCATGCTGTAGACCACGAGCAGGGTTGTGTCCAAAGCAGTGGTGCCATCAGCCACCTCCAAGAACTTCTGCCACCTTTTGCCCCAATTCCCCATGATAAGGACACGGTCACGTAGGAGTAAGGCCACACTAGTGACTTGGTCCTCTGCAAAGACCCCGTTTCAAAAAAGCTGCCTTCAGAGAAACTCGGGTTAGGACTTGGTTTGTGATTTCAAGGGGACACAGTCGATCCTTGGTAGAGAATCACATGGCGCAGCTGCTCCCTAGACTGCAGGGCAACTTCAGTCAGCCAAACACCGCCATGGTCCACAGGAATCTCCCACAACCACCAGGACCTTGCCCTGATGCTAGCTTCCCCATAGACAGCATTCTCCAGGACCCTAGGTGGATACTCAGCCTAGGCAGGTCTGTCTCCAGGAGCCTTTGCTCATATCTGGAAAGGCCATTTAGCAAGCTGGACTGCTTTCAGGATGCGAGAATGAACACCCAGCCCCAAATGAGCCTGCAGAGGGGATGAGCAGACGGGTTCTGCCTAAGGCCCAGCCCAAAGTCTGCCTGAGCCACAGAAGTGAGATTGGGTTTAGATGTAAAAGGGTTTAAAGGGGCTCTTTAAGCTGGGCTTTGTGGCATACAGTCCCAGCACTTGGGAGGTAGAGGCAGGAGGATCTCCATAAGTTCGAGGACTGCCTGGGCTGTTATATAGAGAAGCCCTATCTTAAAAACAAAGAAAAAAGGGCCCTTTGTTCAGGCCTAGTGGTACATTCCAAAATCCTAGCAGTTGGTAGTTAGTGGCAGTAGGATCAGGAATTCAAGGCCAGCCTAAGCTTCATAGCAAGTTTGAGGCTCCTCTGAGTTATTTAAGGCCCTGACTTAATCTCCAGAAATGTCTTTCTTAGTTGCTGTTGGTGGGGCTGTTGCTGCTCTGAGGAGGAACGTCCTGGGGAGCAGGGTGGGACAGATAAGGAGTGGTCATCGTGTCCCTGCGACCCGAGGGACGTGAAGATCTAGCCTCTGGACTCAGGCATTCGCTCTGGGAAGCATCCTCCAGTTCCCGCCCCCCCAACCCTTCTGTCCCCCAGACTATGGTCACAGAACAAGCTGCCCAAGGCTCCAGCCCACCAGACCTCCGAATGCAGTATCTGCACCAGATCCACGCCAACCACCAGGTGAGCCTCAGTTCCTGGGTATGAGGAGTGTCCCCAGATGACGTGTAGGGAAGACAGGACTTGGGGGACACCAGCCACGTGTCCCCCAAGTCCTGGGCTGGGTTCTCTGGATGGGGTCAAGATATATAGGGCCATGTCCACTTTCTGCTTGCCTGGCCGTATCCATGTGGTTGTGTGTCACATATTTAAGGCCCCGTGACCCATCCATCCTCTCCCAAGCACAAGGTGTTCCTAGGTGAGGCACGGGCTGAGCTGTGCCGCCTGTCCGCAGGAACTGCTTCGCGAGGTGCAAAGCCTGCGTGACCAGCTGTGCACGGAGGATGAGGTCAGCTCCTACGGCACAGCCCAGAGGCTGCTGCAGGTTTACAAGCAGCTCCGCAACCCTAGCCTTGTCCTGTTGTGACCAGGTATGTCCTAGTCCCCTGTCCGCACGTCCTTCGTGGTTCTGCCCGGGTGGGGAAGGATACCCTGATTCCCTGGCTCAGCCAGGAGAGCTGAAAACGAGGGGTGTGAGGTAGATTCAGGCAGTGTCTGAACCCACGAGGCTTGGCCGGCTCTCATGTCTTTCTCCTCCCTGACAGCTGCTGGCCAGCTTCTCCTCACTGCAGGACACACTCCAGGCTGAGTTCCGGGGCCCGTCGGGCTGCACCCCTCCACTGGAACCTCTGTACCTCCGATGGAAAGGATCGTTGCCCAAATACTTGGGCCATGGAGACACAGGGTTACTGGAGTTCAGACTGCAGGGTGTGGGACTGTTCAGCTGACCCCACCACACCCCAGGAGCACTGGCTGCCTCTCTGGAGCCACCAGGGGGCAGAGTGCTCACTGCAACCAAAGCACAAAGACCGTGGGAGGGCTCCCCTAAGCTCCCACTGCCCGAGCTGCCTCCTCCCCCCGCCGGGCCGTGCCCTGCTGCTGGTGCTGTTTTCACGCGGGAGGAGAGCTGCTGTGAGTGCCGACAAGCTGCCCTCTCCTGATGTCCCCCGTGTCAGCCGGCCTCTGCTCCCTTCCCGCCTCTCACCCTCTTCAGAGTCCACTGTGCTCTGTGCAGGTGGTGGGCAGCCCTTCCCAGCTACCCTCCCACAGGGGCTCCTGTGGCCCCTTGGGGCCCGAGATCTGCACCTCAAGGTCTGGACACTGAGCTGCCCGTTGTGTCACAGGGTATTTACATGGGTGTTTGTTCATCCTCCAGAACAGAGTCTTCCATGGAGGAGGCAGTTAGGAGATGGAATGGCCTCTCCTGACACCGCCCAGTGTCTGTACAGTCTTTTGTAACAAGGTGCTCACCGCCAGGGTGGCTGGCTTACCTCACCTGCTGGCCTGCTAAGAGCCCTGTCCGTAGCTGGTCCCTAAGTCTACCCTTGCCACCTCCCGCGTGGGAGCCTCTAACTGCGTCGTAGTGTGCATGAGTGTCTGCTCTGAACAAGTTAGAGAGGCTGGGTCAGCCCACAGGACGGACAGCCTGCCTGTTAGCAGAGAGGGTCTCCCGGGCTGAGCTGGCTTCTGTCTGTCACAGCCAACATTTTCTGGTCCACAGAAATTGCCAGGTTTGTCTCCAGCCTAAACTCCAGTAGGTTGGGAGCCGAGGCATGTGTCCTCAGGGATTGCTGGTGATGTCACCTCATCAGCCTCCCTGGGCCTCTGGACACAGACCCACATCTGGACTTGGACTTGTTGTTCTTGGCACTGAGATTTGGTAGGGCCTGGCACCAGGCTCAGACGGTTGACAGAGCTGAAGAAATATCAGGCTTAACTGGAGAATCTCATTTGAGTGTGATCATGGAGTCAGAGCCACCATATTTCAGCTGGGTCCCCCAGTCTTGTCCAACACCTGTGTGCCGTCCCCCATTCATGCCAGATAATGCCTGACGTCCATGACATCCTAAACTCCAGCAGGCCGTGGGACCACCAGGTTCTGAGACCTAGCACACTCGGGCAAGCCGCTTAGGTCAGCTCCAAGAGTTAATAGGGATATGTCCTGATGTGTGACCCTGGTCTCTTCGGGTAAGCGAAGGGTGGGTGGGGGTGGGGGTCCAGCCATAACTTCCTTCCCAGCATGCCTCCTGCCTTTCCTGGCAGCTATACATTGCCTCCCCACCCCAACGCACTCTCTGGCTGAGTGACGACTTCTTGTCTTAGACTTGCAGCTCCCTGTGGGTCTCATTTGCCCTGGGTAGTTGGAGAGCACTTTAGGGCCCCAAGCAGGATCAGGTCAGCCTAGGTTAGGATGGCCTTCCTTAATCTCTGACCCAAAGCCTAGCAACTGCTGGAGCGAGGTGAGGCGAGGGGTCGGGTCAGGCAGCCCCCACTTAGAGCCATGGCCCTTCCCCTTAGGTCCGTAGAGGATGAGGAGAGCCTTGCTTGAAAGGGCAAAGGCTTTCCTACGAGTGAAGTCCCAGTGCTGAGCAGACAGAACCCTGAGACTTTAGGGTTCATACCCTTCCCATTACCAAGCTGGGCGGCGCAAGCCCACAGCAGCTGCGCAACAAAGGTTTAATGCTGAGTTGGTGGGGCTCTGGGGTCAGCCCCTGAGTCCTCAATATTCCCAAAGAGCTTCCCCCATAGGCAGGTCCGCGTCAGCACGCAGCAGCCCTGAAGCTCCGCCACACAGGTACTTGCCACTGAGGGCGCGGATGGCGAGGCGGCCACGCTCTCGGAACTCAAAGAGGAAATCCTCCGCCAGGTCGCCGTCACTGCACACGCTCCCGTGGCTGCCAATGTACCAGAAGCCAGCTCCGCGGCCTGAGGGCAAGGCTGGAGGTCGGCGGGGCCCGGACATCCCCTGCCCCCCGCCATTGCCTCCCCGCACTCTGTGTTCCCACACCTCTGATCTGATAGGCGCCATCCCTGAAGCTCAAGTGGAAGACATCGTAGGTGGAGCGGTTGGTGTCCAGCTGGTTGGATCCCCGGCGGTGGCAGACAAAGCCATCCAGGCCGCGCAGCACCAGGATGGGTCGGTTGATGAGTTTGAGGATGAACAGCTCGTCTTCGCCTGGGGGAGAGGGCGGAGTGAACCACGGAGTGAACCACGGAGCGAACCACGGAGCGAACCACGGAGCGAACCACGGAGCGAACCACGGAGTGAACCACGGAGTGAACCACTCCTGCCCCTGGCTACCATATGCAGGCTGCGGACTTGGGGGTCTGGGGGTCCCTAGGCGTTGCTAATGTACAGGTGTTGGGAAAGCACCCAGGGTTCCCCAAAGACAGTAAAGGAAAAGACACCCTGGATCTGACTTCTTCCCTGACGAATGAAATGGGGAGGGACCTCAGATGCACTGATGGAGGTGGGGGGTTGCCCAACTTACAGAACGCAGAGAGTGCTCACCCACAAAGTCACTGATGGCGGCCAGCTGCCCGTTTTTCTTCATGCATACATAACGACCGTTGCTGGCTTTAAGTGCCACCCGTCGGCCGTGCCATTCCATTTCAAACATGGTGTTGGCAGAACTGAGGGAAGGACAGGCAATATCTCAGAGAGAGGGGAGCAGAATTTGGTCCCCTTTTCCTCCATGGGTTCCAGGGATGAGATGGAAGCCTGCCCTCCGCAGAAACACCCATGGCCAGTGGGAGCTACTCCCCACCCCGGTGAACATTTGCTATTCTCATAGCTCAATGTGCACATGCCTCCAATTCCGGCACTCGAAGGCAGAGGCACCTCTGGGCTGGAGGCCAGCCTGGTTTATATAGTGAGTTCCAACCCATCCAAGGGTAGTGATGGTGGTGTTTGTGAGTGCCGGTGATGGCCGTGGTGACAGAGACAGGGACCGGTGCACTCACACTTGTGTGGCTGTGGCCTGAAGGCCCCCGTGAGTGACCAGGGTCCAGTAGCCCCCAGTGCTGGAATAAAAGGTAGACTTCTTTGTCTCCTGGTCAATTTGCATCAGGAAGGTCTCATGGTCCAGTTCTTCATCCTGATTGGCTGAGACATTGATTCCTGGAGGGAGAAGACAGTGAGGCTCCTCACAACTCCTGGGAGGCAAGAGATGGGGAAACGTGCTTTGGGAGGCCAAGAAGCCAGAGGGAGTCTCAGCTAGAGCTCTCATGTGTCAGAGCAGCTCTGCCCAGGAGCATCCCAGTACCAGCGCACCCCACACGTGGACTCTAAAGCATGGATTCTTGGCCCAGCTCCTGCCTCACCCCCTTGGATAGTACCTCATGCCCGTTCTGCTTGTAGCAGCAGTAATCTGCTCGCTGCTGCTCTCTGGACCCAGGATCCACAGCAGCCCGTTTATAATTCACTCTTAAGCTGCTGGGGGCAGGGGGGCTCTGACCTTCCCCCTGAGGTGACCTAGATCAGAGCCAGGGACTCGGAGCCTACCGGCCGCCCACACAGGAACCCTAGGGAAAGGCAGGCTGCCCAGGGCCCGCCCAGGGTTTGTGTAATGGAACAAGTGTTCCGTGTCCTGGCTCAGCATGCAGGCGCTGAAGCCTCCTCAGGATCATCCCTAAGCTCTGGTCCCCTCCCACAAACCCATCAGGTTCCTGGCAACCGGATACTCAAGAGTGTGGCAGGTAGAACCTCCATGAGCCCCAGGGCTCAAGGGGTAACAAGTGAGGAGGGAGGGACCAAGCCTGAAGGTGGGGCCACATCGGAGCCTGCCCTGCCGGAGAGGGGGGAAACAACCACAGCGACTCCTCGTGGAGACACCGAGACCTGTGAGATCTACCGCCTCCCTCTAGCTCCCGGAGACTGTGCCCAGGCACATTCGCCCTAAGGATCACCGCTTCGATGCTGAAGAGCAGCTAGCCTATCCCAGGAAAGGGCCCAGCAGTGTGTTTGGTTTTGGTTTGGTTTGGTTTTTTGTTTTAGATTCTATTTATCAGGGATACAATGTTCTGACTGCGTGTATCCCTGCAGGCCAGAAGAGGGCACCAGATCTCATTACAGGTAGTTTTGAGTCACCATGCAGTTGCTGGGAATTGAACTCAGGACCTCCGTATGTGAATCCATATGTGAGAACAGCCAGTGTTCTTTCCTCTGAGCCATCTCTCCAGCCCCCAATAGTTTGTTTTTAAGTTTTTGTTTTTTCAAGACAGGTTTCCCTGTAGCTTTGGAGCCTGTACTAGAACTAACTCTTGTAGACCAGGCTGGCCTTGAACTCACAGGGTTTATTTTTATGTGCATGAGTGTTTTGCCTGTGTGTATGTCTGTACCACTTGTGTGCAGTGAACTCAGAGATCAGAAGAGAAAGTCAGATCTCCTGGTCCTGGGAATCAAACCTGGGTCTTCTGTCTCTCCAGACCTGGGCCCGACCATCTTTTTTACTGACCCCATCCCTGCCAGCTTCATCCTCGTAGTAACAATTGCTGAGCTGGACAGCTGGAACCAAGGCCACCCCTAACCTCATGAACCAACCCACATGGCGAACAGAAGTCAGTGGGAAAGTCTGGGTAGTGAGTCTCCTGGGTGAATGCTATCGGCCGCAGGACAAGTGGCCTTTCAACAAAGCCTCTTGCAGGGACAGAGGGCAGAACCAGGTCAAAGGGCTTTAGCTGGGCAAGCTAACTAACACCATCCATTGTCTTCAGCCACTGCCACATGTGCTGTGTCCCCATATCACCCTCCTCTGCAGACAATGCTACCAAACATCTTCCTCCTCATGGTCACCTGCTTCTAGGGAGCTGACCCGGCAGTGGGCAGTCCCAGAGTCCAGACGGCCTGGACGGTGGGTGTGGGGCATGTCTGGATTCGTGAGAGGGGCTGAGTCTGTTGCCAGCAGAAGCAATGTTCATAGCTGCTCTGCACGTGAGCCCTGCTGTGACCGCGAGGGCAGGGACGGGCTGGCGGAGGCTGTGGATGGGGCAGTAAAGAAGTCCGGTGGGAGAACTGCTCGTTGGAGACTCATAGGCAGCTCCTGACTCGGAGACAAGTTTGGGGCCAGGACAAATAGACCCAAATCTACTGCTCAGACTACCTTGAACCCAGAATCACTTCTACCCAGACACATCGGTCCCAAGGCTGGAACAGCTGGCAGCATCACCAGCCCAGGGAAGCAGAGATGAACACTCAGTGCTTAGGAAATCACCCACGAAAGGGAGGGGCTCACAGCAAGTTCGTCAACATGCAGAAAAGAGGTCAGTGAGGCGGCTTAGCAAGACAAGGTGCTCGCTGCGAACGCCTGACAATCTGGGATTGGTCCCTGGGATTCATGTAAAGGTGGGTGGAGAAAAATGGCCACACAGAGCGAATGCTTGTGCCTCTCTCTCTCTCTCTCTCTCTCTCACACACACACACACACAATTTTATTAATGTTTTTCAAGGCAGGGTCTCACTATGTAGCTCTGGCTGTCCTGAAACTCACTGTGTAGACCAGGCTGGTCCCAAACTCACAGAGATCCACCTGCCTCTGCTTGAAAGTACTGGGATTAAAGGTGTGCGCCACCACACCCAGCTAATAATAAAAGTTAAAAGACTAAAAAGCAGGCTAGAGAATCGGCTCAGGGTTTAAGGACATTACATTCTTGCAGAGGACCTGAGTCCTGTTCTCAGCGCCCTTACCCAGTGGTCTACGGCCACCTATACCTAGAATTCTAGATGGTCCGACACCCACTCTGGCTTCTGCAGGCAGCAGCGCTCACGTGCGCACACCACTTCCGTGCTCACACCCATCCTGTGCATGCATTTTACACATACCTTTTTAAAGGCTGAAAAGTGACCCACACAGACACGATCCTACCCAGTGCCCTGACTAGCAGATCCACCAGCTTTTTTCTTTGGTGCTGGGAATGGAACTCAGGGTGTTGTACACATGAGGCCAGTGCTCACAGAGTTATCTCCCCAGCCCCGCATCCCACCACCTCCACCGACTCCCAAGCCTCCACCATCACCATCACAGGCCCTACTGCCGTCATTACGGTCGCCATTACTACCACCACCACCTCCATCACCATCTCCAGCCCTCTACCATTTCCCCCATTACCGTCTTCACCTCTGTCCATCACCATCTCTACCGCTTTCACCCCTCCGTCACCGTTAACAGCACCACCAGCCCCCATAGCTCGGCCATCAGTGTTGACTCTACCATTGGCACCCTCCTTCCGGAGTCTCTGTTACAATCCATCCATGTCCATCCCCCCCTCTTTCTCTTCCTTCTCCTCCTCCCCCGGGAAGGACTCCACCACCACTGCCCCAGCTAGCTTGCTTAGCTAAGGACCGTGGACATCTGAGCCTTCTCCAGGCCAGATGGTGTGGCTGGACAGCAGGACTGGTGTTGGGGAAGAGGGCCACATGCTGGTGACTACGTCTGCCGTTGCTCCAGACTGGCCTGAAAGCCATGACTACATCTAGAGGTCCTCGGCAGGCTGGCCTCCCACATGGGTGGTCCCTGACCATCCGGAGAGGACATAAGGTGCCCGAAGAGACTGGCTATCTACATACTATAGCACTGGCGTGATCGGCTCATAGAGACTGGTTATCTACATACGATAGCATTGAGCATTGGCGTGATCGGCTATGAGACTGGTTATCTACATACGATAGCACTGGTGTGATCGGCTCATAGAGACTGGTTATCTACATACTATAGCAGTGAGCATTGGCGTGATCGGCTCATGAAGACTGGCTATCTACATACTATAGCAGTGAACACTGGTGTGATCGGCTCTTGGAGACTGGTTGTCTGCATACTATAGCAGCTAGCATACAGGCTCATGGGCGCTGCCCTTTCTCTGGCAAGTGCTGGCATAAAGGGGTCTAAGCGAGTAGGGAGGGGCGTTCCCTGTCTCACATCCTCCTTTGGGCTTAGAGAGCTCTCAGGTCAGGGTGTGTCTCAGCACCTGGGGTGCATGAGCCCAGACCCCACGATGAAAATAATTCTACTTTCTGGCCTGGACCAGGGTTATGCCAGTAGCCTAGGGCCTCTCGAACCTCTGACTTCCTCATGAGGCAGTAGGAACACTGTGTTTACCCCAAACTACTCAGGTGTCACACAAGTGACCACTGGCCAAGCCACACCCCGCAGGTGGAGATGGCGCCTTTGCCCTAGAAGCACAGGTCCCAGGCAAGGTTGCCTTGGCTTGTGTCTGCTAACACTGAAGATAACCGTGAACTCTCCCACTCCTGGAGCACCACAAGGTTCCCGTTGGTCTGCCGATGCCTCACCACACCTCTCCAGTCTTAGAGACAGCTGCAGCCCAGCGGGCAGCGGGCATTCGCCAGGTGTCCAGAGAGTGATGAGCACTCCTGGAGACAGCAGCCCTCAGTGGGCTCACGTGCTTACCCTGTCT